TATATTGTATGCCAAGAAACACACTTTTCCCAATCCTCCTTTCCTATATATTTTTGTGCTCAATTCCATCATATTTACATGGCAATCAATGTTCACAAACATAAGGGGGTCCTTATAGGTTTATAAGCTCAACTAATTTTAGTTGCCACTCAGAAATCCATGACCCATTTGGTAGATATTTAATTTTCACAGTACCCATTCACGGCACAGAAATAACAATAGTTTATGAACCAAGACCAAATCATCCTCCTCGCCTACCTCCTGAAAAAGGTTGAATCATACCAGAAAGGTATGATGCTTTCTATCCCCGTAGGCCTGTACAGTTCTTTTGTGTCATTATTCTTTATTATTATTTAATGGATTTCTGGCAAAAATCAACTTCACTAAGAATAAACTTCTATTCACATCCTCAGGAGGTCTTTTCCAGGATAGACCACATTTTTTGCCTCAATAGCATTATTATTACACAGGATTTATATAGTGCCAACAGTTTGTGAAGCACTTTACAATATAAGGAAGGCATTGCAATTATAATATAAGGAAGACATTACAATACAATTCAAGACAAGATGGTAAGGAGGGCCCTGCCCATGAGAGCTTACAATCTAAAAGGGAGGGGCAAGTGATATATGAGGAGGTAGCTGTGTGGGGATGAATTGTTTGAGAATGTGATGGTTGAGCGGTTAGGTTGAGGTGGGATAGGCTTCCCTGAAGAGATGAGTCTTTAGGGATTGCCTAAAAGCAGTCAGAGTGGGAGATAGATGGAAAGGTTGTGGTAAAACATTCCAGAGGATGGGAGAGACTCTAGAGAAGTCTTGGAGGCAAGCATGGGAGGAGTTGATGAGGGAGCTGGAAATCAGAAGGTCTTTTGAAGAGCATTGGGGACGGTTAGAGTGATACTTTGAGACAAAGTTTGAGATATAGCCGGGGGCAGAGTTGTGGATGGCTTTGTAAGTGGTTGTTAATATTTTGAATTTTATCCTTTGGGCAATTGGGCAGAGGGGGGTTGCAGACACTGAGCGGTTGGTCAGGTGGATGAGTCTAGCAGCTGCATTCATGATAGGCTGAAGGGGGAATAGCCAGTGTAGAGGTTGGCCAATGGGGAGGGAGTTGCAATAGTTAAGACGAGAGATAACAAGTGAGTAGATGAGTAGCTTTGTGGTTTAATTGGTGAGGAAGAGGCGTATTTTGGAGACGTTACAAAGGGAAAGGCGGCAGAATTTGGATAGTGATTGGATGTGATTGGATTGTTATCAATCTCAATGGAAAAGTTGGAGTAAGGTGCATGGGGAGAAAATATCATAAGCTCAGTTTTTTGAAAAAATCGAGTTTTAAGAAGTGTTGTGATATCCAGACTGAAATGTCAGTTAGTAGATTAGTGACACGCAAGGACACTGAGGGGGTGAGTTGTGGAGTAGAAATATATATTTGAGTATCATCAGCATAGAGATGGTATTGGAAGCCTTGTGAGGGTATCAACTTACCAAGGGAGGAGGTGTAGATAGAGAAGAGAAGGGGTCCAAGGACAGAGCCATGGGGGTCCCTACAGAATGAGGAAGAGGAGGGGAGGAGTTAGATTTGTAGGTGACACTAAAGGAGTGCTTAGATAAGTAGGAGGAGAACCATGAGAGAGCATAGTCCTGTAAGCCAAGTGAGTGGAGTTTTTTGAGTAGCAGCGGGTGGTCAACAGTGTCAAAAGCAGCAGAAAGGTCTAATAGCAAGAGTGGTGGCCAATGTTTTTAGCAGTTAGTATGCCATTAGTGAGTTTTAAGAGGGCAGTTTCAGTGGAGTGTAGGGGCAAAAGCCAGACTGTTATTGGTCGAGAAGGTTATTATCAGTGAGGTGGCGGCTCAGGCGCTTGTACATAAGGAGTTCTAGTAGTTTAGAGGTAAATGGGAGTAAGCAGATAGGTCTGAGATTATTGAGGTTGGTGGATCCAGTGAGGTTTTTTTTGGTATTGGGGTGACCAGCGCATGTTTTATAGGGGAGAGACAGTGGAGAGTGAAAGATTGAAAATGTGAGTAAGAGAGTGTAGGATAGAGGGTGACCGAAGTAGTGGCGAGGGAACTGGGTACAGGGGGCAAGTGGTGAGGTGGGTATCAGAGAAAAGCTTTGTAACCTCCTCTGTGGTGACTGGGTCAAAAGAGGAAAGTAACAAGTGTGATGATGGGTCTGGTACATTAATAGGGGAAGATGACTGGACAGTGGAGATCTGATCCCAAATTGTTTTCATTTTGTTTTTCAAATGAATGGGAATGTCCTGAACAGTGAGTGAGTTAGTAGGTGGAGGCGGTGGAGGACATAGTAGAGAGTTAAAAGTAGAAAAGAGTTGACGAGGTCTAGATGAGAGTGTATTAATGAGCGTGACAAAATGGCAGCACAGAGGGAAGAATTATATTTTAGAAGGGCAGCTTTATGCAGGGTGAAGTATTGCAGAGAGCTAGTATTCTGACACAGTCGCTCAGGTGCGTGGCTATGTCTTTGTAGATGTCTGGTTTCTTCTGTTTGCTACAGTTGTAGTAAATGCGGCCTAAGTCTGCGTGAGGTGAGGGGAGCCAAGGTGTCTAGGGTGGATGAGAGTGAGCTGTTGAAGAAAGAAGTAGCCAGGTCAGGGCAGGTCAGGGCTTAGATTTTGTCATAGAGGTAGTCAGTAGCAGAGTAGAGAAAAGAAGGGTTGAGGTGGCGAAGGTTTCTCCGGGTGACAGTGTGCTGTTTAGGGGTATTCAGGGTTGTGGACAGGGTGAGTGTGAAACTGACAAGGTTGTGGTCTGAGAGGGGAGAAGGGATGTTGGAGCGGTTGCAAGGAGTGCATAGGTGAGAGAACACAAGATCTAGTATGTTACCATCAGAGTGAGTAGGAGTGTGTCTCCAGACAAGACCAAAGTGGAGATGTCTGGCCATAATACACAGTTCCCCACTTGGCGAAAACCAAACACAGCATATCAGCACAAACACCCCATATTAACTATCAATCATGGTGGTGAATGGGTAATGATTTGGCTTGCAGTCAGTGAGTCGACAATTAACTAATTTGTATATTAAAGTATTCTTGAGTCAAATGTAAGGCCATCTGTCCCCCAGCTAAAGCTTGGTTAAATTGGGTCAAGCAGCAAGACAATGATCCCAAGCTCACCAGCAAATGTACAACAGAATAGCTAAAAAGGAAAGGGTTCAAGGTGTTGCAATGGCCCAATTAAAGTCCGGAATCAACCCAAAATGCTTTGGTGGGACCTTAAGAGAGCTGTGTATAAAAAATGCCTGCAAACCTCAATGAAGTGAAGCAACATTGTAATGAAGAGTGCGCCAAAATTCCTCCACAACAATGTGAAAGACTGATAAAGTCATACAGAAAACGTTGGCTTCAAGTTCTTGCTGCTAAATGTGGTTCTTCAAGCTATTGAATACAAAGGTGCACTAAGTTTTTCACACATGGCTTCTTCATTTTGGTTTTATGTTTGTATACTAAATAATGACAAGGTGTTACATGTCATGTGTTATTGACCATCTGAGGTTGCATTTACCTAATTTCCTGACCTGCTAAGGACCAGATGATTTTTATAATGTCCTGATACTTAAAACCATAGAATTGAAAGAGAGTGTACTTTCTTTTTCAAACGACTGTATTTTTCTCAACCCTCTACTTGCCACTTTTGCTGCAAAGCTTGGCCTGTTAAAGGAATTTGGAAAAGAACAGATCTACTGGTCAGCTCACCAGGTTAAAATAAAGTAAAAACCTATGAAAAAATGGATGTGGCCATTACATCTAAGGATTGGTAAGCTGCAGTACATGAAATTGTTACTTTTGGGGTTAGATACACCTTTTTCTTTCCTGTCCTACATACATTATGGTGTTACTAGTTTCACTGCCTTAGGGTCTTTCCTGTTGTACAGTCACAAACCTCCAAGGGGCCTTTTAAAATTCAACTCACGCTCATTACACTTAGTATTGGCCCTCCTACTTGGTGATTGACAACAGTTGCCTCCTACCACCAGAGGTGTGTCGGCAATGGAAAACGCAGAGCACCGATAATTGGACACCAATTGTGGATTGATAAAATAATATTTATTGAGATACAATTTGGAGTATTGGCACCTTATAAGCACATATTGTATTGAATATTTGTAGACATTCTTTGTGATGATGACGCACTTTATATAATTCGGTATATTTTGATATTCTGTGATATTTATTCTGCAAACACTATGGAGGGAATTTATCAACACTGCAGCAGTCAATATCTTATGAATTGGTTGTAAGCACTGCACTTTTTTTTATTAAGAAACCAAAATGGACCTAGTATCAGATGTACTTTTTCATGTAAAGTAAATTTGATGGTAAGTAATGTGTCTGTGTAACAACTCCAGGTGTTTTTATCTATGCAGAAACATCACAGTACTCTCCCTGACAATGCCTCTCTGGGAGTATGGCACCATTTCAGTTCAGGCACCATACAGGGTAATCATCTTCTTTCTTTAACCTCTTGCCGTCCGCCCGTAGTAAAAAAACGGACGGACGGCACTGCAGCATCTGCGGGTTGCCGTCTCCAGACGGCAATTTTTTTCTGCTATTTCCTTAATATAGTAAAAAAATAAAACCCCCAGTGGTGAATAAATACCACCAAAAGAAAGCTCTATCTGTCCCCAAAAAAGGGTATAAAATTCATTTCAGTACAGCGCTGCATGACGGAATAAATGTCAGTTAAAGTACCGCAGCGCTGAATACTGAAAAATGGCCTGGATGGGAAGGGGGTTTAACACCGCGGATGTCAACTGGTTAATGAAATGGCAGCTCAGATGACACAATCATGTAACTCCTGATGCCTGTGCAGTTGTGGGCTGTGTTCACAGTTTTGGGGTCCCAGAGAACATACCCCCTTCGGAACTACGGGCCTATGTGCAAGCCCTGCTCAGATCCCTGCTACCTCCCTTGCAGGAGTTTGAATATATCGTGGATAGGGCCCACCGGCTCCCGAAATCGCCCTTCCTGCCGGACCACCTACCGAGGGCAGGGGCGTATCTATCACGAGGCAAACTAGGCGTTTGCCTTGAGCGGCATTTTTCAGGAGGGCGGCCGGTCCCAGGCAGAGGGGACAGTAAGCAGGTGAAGGGGTCAATGATCGCAAGATCATTGTTTCTGTGCAGGACGCTCTGGAAAGCTTCTAACTTGTGGAACTGTCCGAGCATTTACATGTCTCAGTGTCTGATGAGGAAGCCGCAGCCGTTCTCAGTAAACAGCTTCCTCATCAGACACTGAGACATGAGCGGTTCACTGTCAGCACGGGACATTACCTTCTTGTCCCGATCTCTCGCCTCCTCTGTGTGCTGCAAGCCTCCCCCTTCCTCCCCCCTCCCCTCCTCGACTCACGTGCCTCAGCCCAGACTCGGACAGAATGCTTCTTTCATCTCCCCAGGAGAACGGCCACCGGTCTACCTGAAGGCGAGGGAAACGGAAACTTGAAGCCTAATAATAACAGCCGGGCTGCGGTGTCTTGGGGGGAGGGGAGGGGAGGGTAACAGTGCCCCATCAGGCAGTGGTCAAAGACGGTGGGGGATCGTGTGGCCGCCCTGGGCACAGAGAAGGCTATATGGTGGCCACCTGATGCCAAGCAGACAGGTCCTGCTGGTATGCATCTGCACCTTTTGCTGGGAAAGGAGACAGACAGAAAGCCAAGATTCTGGACTACGCCAGCAGCTGGAGGGGGCGATCCAGGAGGCTGACAGGTATCTGGTTGAACTGCGGCAGGTAGATGCTCAGCATCTGGAGGCCGAGAAAAAGGCAGAAGATCTGAAGTCCAAAGCACAGGAGAGCCTCAGACACTGAAAGCTGAAGTGTAAAATGGAGAAGAAAGAAAAGAGTGTGAAAGTGACAAGCGAGCACTGTACACAGGTCAGGTGTCATTTAAATTTCTGTTATGACATGCACAGTAATGCACTGTATATGATTTCTATCTCCTGGCTCTCTCTCTCTCCTTGCTTATCATCCTGGTTGTCTCTCCTCGCTCACTCCCCTGGCTGTCTCTCCCTCCACGGTCTCTCTTGTATAATGCTACACAAAACAACAAACTTGTGGCACTTGTTATCCACTTTTAATGTTTAGAGAGGAAGAGGTAGAGCTCTAAGAGTAAAAGGTGGACCCTAAATTGGAAGGGGTGGAGTTTACAGAAGGGGTGGGTCTTAAACAGGAAGGGGTGGGGCAAATTTAGATTGGAGGGGTGCCCGAGTTTAGTCTTGCCTAGGGCAGCACAAAACCTAAATACACCACTGACCGAGGGATGTAATTGCTCACGTCCACTACTACCACATTAAAGAGCAACTACTTAATCGTGCACGTACAACATCGCCTCTATCTGACCCATATTCGCAAATAACTGTGTATGGGGATCTTTCGCAAAGCCACGATCTTGGCGCAAGAAAAGCTCCTTCCCATTACTAAGTCCCTCCGGAATAAGAGGGTGAATTATCGCTGGGGATTCCCTACCAAGCTTATTATTACACACAATGGAAAATCTCATGTGATCTCGGATGTCGCTTTGGGACTCTCCCTTCTGAAGTCGTGGGGATTGATCCCAGATTCTGCAGATTGATGGTCTCCAGCGGCAGACCCTTCTTCAATTGTCCTCTGTGCTCACCAAGTTGCAATACTTGCCTATAATGCCTTGGAAAACCCCGTGCTGAACTAATGGCTCTCCTAGCCCCACACTTGAAGTCGCAGCTCACCTGGCTGCTTCTACGGCCCTATGGGCCTTGTTCTTATCTCCATATGTTGTAATTAACGCTCGTTGGCGTTACAGTTTACCTTTTTTTATTCTTTGTCCTTGCTTTTTTTTTCTTTTGTTTCTGTTTTTCTGCGCTCCAGCATCCAGGATGACACCACTGCCCTCTGAGGACTTACCTCTTCCCGCACTTGTCGAACGAAGACCAGGCTACATGCGTCTCGCCTACCCAGCCTTCCTACATGTCCAAGGGACTCTCTCAGGTATGATAACTGTCATTCGTCCTATCTACCAATGTGCCTCCACACTACAACAACATGAGTGTTAAAATCCTTTCCCTGAATGCAAAGGGACTTAATAGCCTGTTCAAAAGGAATTGCCTATGGGCAGAGGCTACCACACACTCCTGCGATATCATCTGTGCACAAGAGACCCACTTTAAAGCTGGATCTCCACCTCCCTTTCACCATAATCGTTTTCCTCATGTTTTTTTTCCAATGCCCCAACTAAGAAGCGCGGAGTACTTATAGCCGTAAAAGATACAGTGACTTTCAAGTTATTAGACTCTCTCGTGGATACCCTTGGTCGCTATGTAGTTCTGTTATGTAAAATGAACGAAAATTAAAATATGCTACACGTTGGTTAATGTTTATGTACCTAATACGAAAAACAAACCGTTTTTTTGAAATCTCTTATGACTATAGTACGTATAATCCAGAAGGGGTCTGTGCTCTGGTGTGGGGACTTTAACCTCACCCCAGATAGTTCGATTGACTCTACTAAATCCTCCTCGCCACTCAAAAAATCTATCTCGAAATGGCTTATTAAGGAAAATGTATATGATCTATGGCAGGGGTAGCCAAACTCCGGCCCTCCAGCTGTGGTGAAACTACAAATCCCATGATGCATCTCTCTCCAGGAGTCATGTCTGTGGCTGTGAGAATCTTGCAATGCCTCATGGGATTTGTAGTTCCACCACAGCTGGAGGGCCGGAGTTTGGCTACCCCTGATCTATGGTGTTGTGTGCACCCCAACGAGAGGGACTACACCTTTTACTCCACCCCACATGGATCATATTCCAGAATTGATCTATTTTTGTCAGACCAGGCACCGGATGGCACACGCAGGATGATTGATCTGATTGGTTATGCCGGGGGTTCTTGTGCGCCTTCTCTGCTCCTAGCATTGGACGCGGAGAAGGCGTTCGACAGGATCCATTGGGAGTATCTGGCCCTTACCCTACAGAGATTTGGACTGGAGGGTCCAATTTTGTCTGTCATACTAGCGCTATATTCAAAACCTACCGCTCAGGTGCTCTCATCAGGGATGTTATCGCAATCTTTTGGGATCACGAACGGCACACGCCAGGGTTGTCCTCTGTCGCCCATTATATTATGATTACTTATAGAGCCGTTAGCTGTAGCTATTAGACAAAACCCTGCTATACATGGTATCTCAGTCGCTAATGTTGAACATAAGCTGGGATTATTTGTGGATGACATCGTACTTACCTTAACCTCTCCAACCGCTTCGTTGGCTGCGGCTATGGAGGTACTGACTTCGTTCGGATCGGTATCATACTATAAAGTTAATGAGGGGAAGTCACACATTCTTGCTATTAATGTACCCCAAACCGTGAAGAAGGTCCTCCAAGTACGATTTCCCTTTGCTTGGGCGAAAGACTGTATTACATATCTTGGCATCGCCCTCACCTCTGAGATGACCACCCTATGTAAACACAATTACGAGCCTCTCTTGCAGCAAGTTCAGAGGGACCTTAATTCGCTCAACCAATTTGAATTGTCTTGGATGGGCAGGGTGGCGGCATTTAAAATGAGTACCCTCCCAAAAATGTTAGATTATTTTTGCACCCTCCCCATACCTATCTCCAATAATTTCTTTACCCGCCTCCAATCTGTGGTTAACTCCTACATATGGCTAGGGAAACGGGGTAGAATTGCTAAATCTGTACTATGGAGGCATAAGCTGATGGGAGGTTTAGGTCTTCCCAACTTGAAGGACTACTATAGGGCCTCGGTCCTCCAGCAGCTGAGAACGTGGTTGAGGAGAGTGTAAGCCGGGGTGCTGCGCTTGGTTGTGTGTGCTCCACCTTTTGGTCTTTAAGTTGTGTGGAAATGTGAAAATATCACAAACGAAATACAGTGCCAGTGATCAAATCCTAATTGCGGCCGTATAATGAAAATACAAGTCGAAAAAAGGAAGGTAAATGTGTTTGTGAATAAAAATGTAATATTATTAAATATTAAGTTAACAATGTAAATATCGCAAAATATGTGTAGCATGTGTAAATAAATAAAATATAATATTGTCGTGTGAAAACAAGTTATATTGTGAACAATAAATAAATAAATAAAATCTGGTTGAAAATTGTGTAAACGGGTGAATTATTCCATCTGGCAATCAAAAATTTAAAAAAAAAAAAATGGAATAAAAACTAATTGTATGGCCAGTCAAAGGCTACAAGCCAAAGTGCACAAAAATCTTATAAAAACACATCTACTGATATAAAAGGTGAATAAAATATAGTGTATATAGAGGTGTATGATCGGGGATTGTAAGCAGCAAGATACTATTTTCCTCCGAGCAACATTGGAAGTCAAGTGTCTTTTACTTATAGTTCTATTGATGAGTCTGCAGAGGGAAAAATTCTTCAATAATAGTCTCTCTGCCCTCTCCTGCCGTCAGGCTGCACTTCCTCTCATCGGCGGTGTTTGGACAGCCTCCAGTATGGATGGAGAACCCTCCGGAGAGATCAGCCAGGAAACGAGGGGGGAACCGACCATAGAAGAAAAAACAGGATTTAAGTGCAGATGCAAGATCCTTTATTTCAAAAGTTTAAAAATGATTGCACTTACAAACTTCCGTTGGTAAAACAGCATATGCAACCTGTGTAGAACCTCTTCCCAGGGTGTCAGCGAGGAAATGGTTGAGGAGAGACTCCTGCAAATTATGGTATGGCCTGGAGAGCTCCATAGTGCCAGGAGGAGACCTACTGGCCTGGCTGGTGGGGCAACTATGAAACCCAACCTTCACTTACTGGCTCACCCCACCTTACATGCCACATTTCAGGTGTGGTGTTCGGTCCTTAACAAAGCCAGCGGATGGCAGTCTTCCCAGGTAGACATACCTTTGAAGGCTTACGAATTAACGATACCATACCTTAACCTTGGTCCCTGGGTACAGAGGGGTTACCTCACCTTACCACCGCCTGGACATATGCTAGCTTTTATGGATTCCTATAAATTAGCTCAAATTATGCACTTTCATGCCTCAACACATATTCGTGTGATCCGAATCCCTACAGGGCTTTTGGCTCCTCTGCAGCGACAAAGGGCCAAATCTCCTCCTTCTATAACATGCTACATGACAAGAAAACATTTATGAAATTACCTTCAATGCTCAAGTGGGAAGAGGACCTGGGTGAATAATTCTCGGAGAAGGCCTGGTCCTCGGCCTGTAAGGCGAATGTCTCTAGCTCCAAGTGTGTCACCCACTGGGAGATCTCCCTTAAAATAATGCTAAGGTGGTACTTTACCCCTTATCGCCTATCTAAGATTTACCCATCGCACTTCCCCCTTTGCTGGAGAGATTGCGGCTCTGTGGGCAACATTATACATGTATTCTGGACCTGTAAGAGCATTAAAAGCTATTGGGGTATGATTTTCCACTGCCTTGCCTCCTTTACCGGCATCTTGATCTCTCCTTCCCCACAAATGGCTTTACTGAGCATAAGCGTTGATATCTACCCTTATAATCTTAGGACGGTGGTCCTCTACTTCCTATTCACGGCCCGTCAGCTTATAGCCTCCAGCTGGAAACAGACATATGCACCTACCTTAGAGGAAACCATAGCAAGGGTGCATCTGAATTGCCACATGAAAGGTTAATAGCTTTTAGGCTAAATTCCCACTCTCAATTCCACACTAAATGGAAAGACTGGATTTCATATACAAGACCCTGAATAGCCCATAACCTGCCTTTTTCCCATACGACAAGCCCTGGATCCTGGTTCTAGCTGGAATAATTTTGTTTGTTTTGTGTTATTTGTTTTATTGCCTTTCTATATTTACCGACTGCATAAGGTAGTCTACTATGCATATATTATCCTCAACTTCAATGCACAAGCAAATACCTGCTACTTGTTGGAATGTCAATGCGATCCAAGATGATATGATCACATATAAGTCTGGATATGATATGATATGTGTTGATGTATCTGCTTGATGATTTTCTGAGTGTACAATGTGAAGTTTTATATGCACTTCAAATAAATAAAAAACTTAAAGTTAAAAAAAAATGTTACAGTCCAATCACTGGGGGGGAGAGGAGATTGGGAAATGCTCCTTCCTTTCTGCCTGCAGCAGACTGATTACATCATCCCTGCCTAGGCAAAGTTACTGATTGGAGCTTTATATGTATATAAATGTTTAATTTTTCACTGTGTTACATGTTTTTATCTTTAAAGAAGAACAATTATTAACCCTTGCAGTGGGCTACCTTGGCACTGCAAGGGTTAAGTGCTTGTTTTGGTCTAGGTGCAAAAATAACAAAGTTATATTCACGCCCGGATTCCCCACAAGGCCACCGAGGCCAGGCCTCAGGGCCAGGGCGGTGTGGAGTCCCCCGACGCCCGGAACATATAGTTCCGGGCGCCGGGCGGTAAGTTGCCTTCTACATTTAGTCCTGCTTTGGGAAGGCAGGACAAAATGTAGTGTAGGGAATACGCTCGCTTGTTAACAAGTGATTGCGGCGATGAAGGAATGAAGCCGTTACATGCAAATACCGGAGCGCTATTAGCGCTCCGGTATTTGACAGCTGAACATAGCAGAGAGGTAGAGAGTGACTCACCTCTCTGCTATTTGTTTTGACAGCTCCATAGACTGGCCTGATGTTTATGAAGCTGTATGATACATTTCAAGCAAAGAGATACAATGTATCTCTTTGCTTGAAATGTATCAGTTCTGATCGTTTAGGCATGATCAAAGAGCTTTAGTGAGATCTCATTCTGACACGCTGTCAGGATCAGTCTCTAAGGTTATTATTAGCTGTTCCTAAGTTGGGACCAGCCTAATAATAGGCAAAAATTAAAAAAAGTTAATTTATCAAGCAGTCATAGTGACTGCTTGATATAAACTGACAAAAAAGTTTGTGTTTTTTTTAACTTTTTTTTTACAAAGTGTAAAAAAAGAAATAAAGTTTAAAACAAAATTAGGAAAATAAAAATTATTTGTAAACATATTTTTAAACTATAATTATTATAAAAAATTTCAAAAAAATTCTTCAATTTTTCCCCCCTATTTTTTATTTTTTATTCAAACTAAGTGAGGTGTTAGGGCTATATAATTATATCAAACATGTGTACCTATCTGTCCTCTAAAATGTGCCTGGCCTGCTCAGCAATGAAATGGACACGTACTATGATAAATGACTTGCCCAAAAAATCCCCATATGCTATTCTATCCTAAAAGCTTTTGTTGTTCTTTTGTTCTATTATGAGCAGAGCGGTCCCACCACTGTAATCATGTGTTGAGTTTTCAGATATCTCTAGAGACTCGCTCAGCTCAGGTGTCCATAGTCCCGGGGGAACTGCACAGAGAAGGTTTCACATTACTCTAAAAATGAACAATGATGTAACCGGCTTTAGTATTCTGTACAATCTGCTCTAATGTTTAAAATATAGTTTTTTCTTAGTCAGAATATGATAAACACCCTCAAGAATACATCACATCAGGGGAATAATACACCACAGGGATATTGAAGACTTTACTGACATGGGAGATACACAATTCTAAATGTGTTTCTAAATTCAGTTTAGTGAGCAGGTGAAGAAAAGTACATTCAGATTACATTTCCTAAGAGATTGTACATAAACTTTCACCCAATAGAACAAACCCTGACAGATGATGTTTAATAATACATTTACTAAAGAACTGCTTTCCAATATGAGCAATGCTGAGAGAAATAAATAAAAAATAACATGTAGGCATTTTCTTTTGCAGGATATTCAGTATATATTATAGTTACAATTCAATAGCAAATATACAAAAAAAAGTATATTGAATTTAATTTCAAAATCTACTGTTCAAGGAAAAATTAATAATAATATCATTATAATTTTAATTACAATTAATTTGATAAATAATGGACTAGATGAGTTTCTGATTTGTGAAGTAAGTGATGTAATATGTGTATCATAGTATGTGGATCCAACCTTGATATCAACACATCACATCCCACAATTGTAAGAGTTAAATCAAAAATGGTGTTCAACCATTGGGACTTTTCAGGTGCTACATATTATGACAAGACGTGTAAATAACATTTTATTTTATTTTATTATTAACAAATGTAAAACTTTTTTGCAATTAATATAAAAAGATGCCATCCCAATCCAAGCACTGATAACCTATACTCCACATTTTAAAAGCCTAGCAAATCATCCTAGAAATGATTGCAATTGCCATTGAGACATCCAATTAGCCATTGAGACATCAAAATTGCAATAATTTCTAGGGTGGTTTGTTAGTCTTTTCATATATGACATATAGGTTTTCAGTGCTTGGATGCAGATGTCATCTATGTATATTGATTGCACAGAACCAAATTAATGATTTCTCATGTGGGATGCAAGTAGAGGCAGGGAAGCATCAACATGAGGTGGATTGTTGTAGTGATAGGGGAACAACCTCAGGCAATGGGTTGTTGTGGTTGTGGGTCATCGTGATTGACAAGGATTTACATCACTGTACAACATGCTTGATGTTGGATTTGCATTGACAGTGTATACTTTTTTTTCATGAAATATGTCTACGATATCAATGTTTTTATTTGCTTTTAACTTTATCTATGAAAAACTAATAAGGTGTACTAATGTACCCCATACTCATTCCCCTAGGGGTACCTGTATCTAAATCCCCCTTATTATAAATGGGCTTCCAGATTCCAATAGCCCTCAAAAAAAAAAATACTTCGTCTTGGGGTATTGCATGTGGGGATGAGGCCTTTGTGCACTCAACATGTGGACAATTTGCCTTGCAAGAGTGAGTATTAGCTATCCTAAATGTCATGCCAATTATGAAGAAATGTGGCCTAGCATTATTCAGGAAGGGGGCAGCAAGCTGAAAATCACCCCTTTTATTCCTCACTCAGGTTGCATATATGGATTGGGTCATGAATTCATTTTAAGGGGAACCAACACCTTTTTTATTGTTGTATATTGACCCTTAAAAAAAGTTACACCATGTGGAATTACCATAAAATATCATATTAAACCCTTATCCAGTCATGTAGCTTGGTGCCCAGGAAAGCGAGGACAGTGTGTGCTTGCCCCTTCTTCCAGAACCATTCAAGGCTTCAACACAAGGGTAATATACAAGGCGGGTGGCAAATTTGGTCAATATCACTACTCAGGATCCCCAGCTGGTTTGATAACAAGAAGATGGCAGGATTTGTCGTTAGGTGGTGGCAGTGCTATTGCTACTAAATGATAGATTCCTAAACAGTTTGTTCACAAGCAGCAGCAGCTGAGGATTCTTGCAGGCAAACTGGTTACATTTGGCCAGTTTGCTTTGCAGTTCCCAAAACTGCGAACAGTATGGGTTTGGGCCAAACTTGAGTTTGACATGAACCCAAAGATTATCTTTATGCGGCACATACCACAGGCATCCTATCTACTTTTGGATGTGTGTAGTTAATTTAGTGTCTACAACTGGCTAAATAAAAATACTTTGCTTTTAACAGTATAACATTTGTATTAATAACATTTATAGGAAATAAGTACCATTTTAAAAGTTTAAAAGTACCAATTCAACAATCTACTAATCTTGGATATACAAAAGTGGCATGTTGATCTTGAAAATTAATATGATATATTTTAAATTTCGATTGGAAATAAATGGGCCAAAATAGCAGCTTTTGCATTAAAAACACTTAAATGTTTCAGAGTGCTATGAAGATTTTTCCTACTATCTCAAAAATGCTAAAAAGGAATCCAATAATAATTTCACATTTTCTTCTTTTTTGACTTTAATTTTAATTTTACTTCCTCATAGTGTATTTGATGAGTTTTGTTACATTGCAATCCAATTCCATTGATTCAATTTTTATATTCAGGCTTCTCAAACAATGAGCTGTTTTTTTGAATAGCACTCTCTAACATTTTTGTTTAAAACACTTCGCAAAAACAAAAATAGGGTTGATTATGGCTTAAGAAATGGCAAAACAGCTAATTTAGTTGGAAAATCAACATTTATTTAAAAAAAATGCTAAAAAAATTGTATATCCCCATTAAGTTAGTTAGTGGTCCTCTATAAGTGGTACTACAACACAATGCACACCCTGCTCCATGTATACATGTCTGCACTTCTTAAGCAACTGTTTGAGAGTAAATACTGCTGTGCAGGATGTAACCATTATGTTTTTTCAGAAGCACAGATTCTGGATCGAAAGGACCAGCTAGCAACACTGAGCAGCATTATCAGCCAAGAGGTTGGACCTTGTCCAGCAGGTGCTACCCGGGCCCAGTATTGAAGAGGCTGGAGATAAATGGCACAGGTTCCAAGGGTTACCCTTTGGGAAAAGTTGGAAGAAAAAGAGGGAAAAGAGATAGTGAGCATCTAGTCCTGAGTTGATACATCCTAATAAATATACCCATTTGGGGGTATTAGTTTAGGGGTAGCAATGTTGGAGCAGAATATTTGCTCTAGCTGCCAGGGGAATGACTATCCCAGTATGGATAGGAGCAGGTGTGTAGGCAAAGATAGGGGGCTGCAGTAAAGGAAGGACAGACAGGGTAATCTGTCACAATTATCATAACCACTGAATAGTTTGTTGCTTACCAGGTGCTTAGGTTTGACACTTTGCAGATCAGATTGACAGACTGATGGGGCCAGGGAGGACCCAACTGTTATGGTGCACATTGGTACTAACAACAAAGTCACAGGAAGATGAAGAGTCCTTAAAAAAGATTTGAGGGACTTAGATACCAAACTAAAGAAAAGGACATTTGTGTTGCTTCGGAAATGTGTTGATAAAAAAATTTTGATTCCATTTAGCATGAAAACACCTATAAGAGATTTCAGCGATTGAGTTTACATCCACTTTAAAAACAATTTTAATAAGAGTGAGTCTCATTTTATTTCAATTTTTCATTAGAACGGATCACTGTCTGTCTCATGATGCTTCAGTAGTTAACCCCTTGAGCTGACTATTGGAATAGTTGGAAATAAATACCTAATACCATATAGGTGAAAAGTACAAAACAGCATCACGCCCCTTCAATAAAAAGAATCACCGCCCGTCTTACAGGTGATGCCCAATTAGTTAACCCCTCGATGTGACTACTTTATTGAAAATAAATTCCTAATACCATATAGGTGAAAATCACAAAACAGCATCACGCCCCTTCAATAGAAAGGATCATCGCCCGTCTCACATGTGATGCCCAAGTAGTTAACCCCTCGATGTGACTTATTTATTGAACATAAATTCCTCATACCATATAGGTGAAAATCACAAAACAGCATCACGACCCTTCAATAGAAAGGATCACCGCCGGTCTCACAGGTGATGTCCAAGTAATTAACCCCTCGATGTGGACCTGATATGTCATGTTATTGAAGTTTGTTTCATTTTTGTTACTGTGGCTGATAGTCTTTTACTAGTGATTGACTTTGATAGAATGTTTATCTAACATAAATAAAGGGTGATTGATAATGTGGACCTCAGTGTGCTGGTGACCTCATTACCTCTACTGTCTTTGCGGTGTTGGCCATTTCAGTACCCACTGCAGTTGCAAGAAGAGATGCGTCGCTGTGATATCCTTGAAGTTTGTTATTACCATAAATGTCTGTATGTACAGGTTACCATTCTATAGTACTTTATATGGAAATAAATTACTCTGTAAATTCCCACTGTTGCCCAGCTGTTTATACATTGCTATGTCAGCCTGTATTTTTGTTTCTTTGGAAAATCGTTAATGAAAATATTTTGATTCCAATAAAATGTTCTTAGCATGAAAAAACGTATAAGAGATTTCAGTGATTGAGTTTGCATCCACTTTTAAAACAATTTTAATAACACTGAGTCTAGTTTTATTTTCATTTTTTATTCTCAATCTTTTAAAGATCATTTAAGTCAGTTTATTAAAAGTACGGATTTATTTGAAGAAAAGCTCAGGTAAGGAAGAGCTGGAAGTAGATTCAGGATGATGTAATGATCTATTTTGAGAACAATGAGAAATCCATCACACTGAACCGTATAAAAGGACAACGGAGAGGAGAGCAATTCACACTGTCACATACTGTAGACATGTCACTGACGCATATGCAGCATCATAGCACAGAATTGCATAGACTGTGTGGGATATTCTCCTTAACAGTTTGTGTCCTACTGTCTGTTGTTATGAAGATTAAAGCTTTAGCTGTATTTACTTTACTGAAATTTCAAATATCTTGGATTGTCCTGTGGTTGGCTTTTGGCATTTACAGCACTCAGAGTTCATCATCTGTCTGTAATCTCAAGATTAAAGCTGTAGTTGAAGAATTTGGATTTCATCAGGAAGGTGACTTTATCATCGGAGGAGTGTTCACTATACGTGCAGCTACTACAAATGTAAAGGGAACAAACACATACATGAAAGAATTTTTATCTGCAGAGTAAGTAAGATTTTGAACTATTGCACAACACATTCCTATCATGGTGCAGATTATTAAATGCTAGAGAGCTGTGCCATAATGAGCAATTAGAAATCTCACCAAAGAATGAACACTTGGAAAGTTTGTTCAGTCGATAAAGTGAGCGTTTCCTTTCCTTGTCAGTTCTGACTATAATAATGAAGTCCTTATTGGTACTTGCTGTTAAGTAACTATCTGCAGTATACAGTTCTGGACCCAAAGCATCTGAATCTGTGTTACCTGAGTCTGTTCTGCAACACAAGCTAATGTGATGAGAACGAGACAGGGGATAGTGTTACACCTTCAATAGATGGCCAGCTAAAACTGACAAAGAAGTCACGTTTAAAAAAAAAAAAAAAGATAAGATGGATTTCTGTTGGTTTTGTACTTTAATATTTTTTCAAATATGCACCAGATGTATAGTGAAAATGCACACTCTGACATTGCTGCATGGGGTAAGGAATGTAATTATAATCAAAACTATTTCTTTCACCAGAGTTGGAAAATGTAACTGAGCAGAAGGAAAGTTAACTCACAACATTTACAGACTATGCAGTCTTCAGCAAGAAACTATCTGCAGTATACAGTTCTGAACCCAAAGAATCTGTATCTGTGTTACCTGAGTTTGTTCTGCAACAGAAGCTAATGTGATGAGCAAGGGACAGGGGATAGTGTTGCACCTTCAATAGATGGCCTGCTAATACTGACAAAAAGGTTACGTTTAAAAAAAAAAAATAAGATAAGATGGATTTCTGTTAGTTTTGTACTTCATACAATATTTTTTCAAATATGGACCAGATGTACAGTGAAAATGCAAACCCTGACTTGGCTGCCTGGGGTAAGGAATGTAATTGGGACCTCATATAATCAAAATAATTTCTTTCACCAGAGTTGGAAAATACAACTGAGCAGAAGGAAAGTTAACTCACAACATTTACAGGCTGTGCAGTCTTCAGCAACTGAGGCTGGCATGGTCGTTACACTGGCTGGTCAGTAGGGATGAGGTCTGGGTTTGCCACTATCATGGGTTTGCAGTGAACAAAGGGGAATAAAAGCCAATCCATCCATTAGAGCAAACTCTATTGGATGGATTGGCTTTTGGCACAAGTCAATCCAATGTCCTTTTATTGAATATCAATAATATATTGCCCATAAACGGGATTGTTAATATCTGGTGGATTCACTTCCATGTGAAATAAATATCTTTGTTTCTATAGTGATGACATTCGAGCACTCCTAAATGTTTTGGTTTTTCGTTTTGCCATACATCAAGTTAACCAAAATACAGAAATGTTACCCAATATTACACTGGGGTATCATATTACTGATTCATATTTAGATGCCAGTGTGGCTGTGAGGAATGTTCTACAAATTTTATCTGGGCCACAGAAGGCAATCCCCAATTACTCATGTTCTAGAGAAGGTAAACTGGTGGGCTTTATTGGAGATCATTTTTCAGTGACAACAATTCCAATGGCACAAATACTGGGGGTCTATGGATATACACAGGTAGGTGCCTTGTACATGTTGATTATGAAATTTTTTTTACACTTATTTTGCACTGCCTTTTTAGACATTACAAGACATTATAAATACAAGGTATTTTTTAATCTCTATATATTATAACCCAACTTTTTTTAACTTCAGTTCTTTTATTTAAAAAAAAAAGGTAGGTACAGGATCCAGGTACAGAGAGACAAATTCCAGAGCATAAGTCACAAGGCACGTGGGAGACCAAGAAAACAGTAACAGTACACCAACATAGCAACCCTGAGAATTTACAGTGCGATCAGAGTGCAAAATCAGGACAGGAATTGTATCTGACAATACCTGTATCGTTCTGCAATACACTACATTTTGTAATAAAAGGTTTTCCACACAAATAACACAGATTGTTAAGTAAGATAACTGAAGAAAAGGGAAAGAAGGAGGGGAAGGTAAGAGGAGTGTAGAATCTGCTCTGATTTGGGGGTGCCTTAAATTACTGATGAACAACTGAATCTTAAATAAGTGTATACATGTATTCTAATTACAATTAAGGGAATCTGAAAGGGGAATTGGGGATAGGAATTGAGGGTAAGGATCCTACAGCTAGCTACCCCATTCTCTCTCTCTCATTCACACATGCCATGGGTTTTTCTCTGCTCTCAGGACACGCCTCTCCAGCTGGTCTCAGCGAATCACATTCTTGATTGCAGAGTTCAGAAAGACTTGTCTTGTCCAAAGGTCTTGCTGGTCAGCTAGATTAGTGTCACACAGGAAGAAGGTTCCATCATATGCCCCTGCCCCCATCCCAGCATATATGCCTTACTGACACAGGTGTGGGCAGTAAATACCAGCAGGGGTCGGGCTTGCCCCAAGACATAACCATCCTGGCAGATCTTCATTCCTCAGTGTCCAGCCCCAAGAACCCTTTGATGGTCCTCATTTACATATCAGCCACCTGCTGATTCCATTCAAATATCAAGGAACCTTCCATCAAAGCTGTATCATAGATGTCAATTGCTTTACGTTCCAACAAGGAGAAAGTAGAATGGGAAAGAAAAAAGGAAGACAGCAGAAAGAGAAAAAGAGCATAAAAGTAAACAAGCAGAACTCAATCTAGAGAACAAATCTTGTAATAACATGGTCAATCGGAAAACAGTGTCATATATAACAAAATATAATAAAGAGCACTGGCCAAAAATTACAAATGAGAAGTCTAGAAAGTACAAAATAGAACCCTCAGAAGTGAACTGTGCATTGGCTATCTGTGTGCCAACAGGACCAGTGGCGTAACAACCGGGGGTGGCAGCCGGTAAGAGGAGGACGGGAAGAAGCTCTACGGCTGCCTTTGATAAGCCTGTGTAGTGCTCGGGCTCCTTGGCAGCTCCCTCCGCCCACTTCTCTGCCATTTGCTGGAGGGAAACTGCACTCCTACTGGCTGTCTGCCTGGTTCCTAAAGGGAGGGCAGCAGGAAGTGGCTGGAATCGACTCAAAACGTGCAGGCGACCTCGAATGTGACCTCTGCTGTGCATTACATATTCACCGCTGCACTGCGTTACATGCTGACTGCACTGCGTTACATGCTGACTGCTGCACTGCGTTACATGCTGACTGCTGCACTTCATTACTGACCGCTGCACTGTGTTACATACTGACCTCTGCACTGCGTTACATACTGACCGCTGCACTGTGTTACATGCTGACCTCTGCACTGCGTTACATGCTGACTGCTGCACTGTGTTACATGCTGACCGATGCACTGTGTTACATGCTGTCCACTGCACTGCGATACATACTGCCTGCTGCACTGCGTTACATACTGACCGCTGCACTGCGTTACATACTGACCGCTGACCTCTGCACTGCGTTACATACTGAGAGGTGCACTTCATTGCATGCTGACCTCTGCACTGCATTACATCCTGACCGCTGCACTGTGTTACATGCTGACCTCTGCACTGCGTTACATACTGACCTCTGCACTGTGTTACATGCTGACCTCTGCACTGCGTTACATGCTGACTGCTGCACTGCGTTACATGCTGACCTCTGCACTGTGTTACATGCTGACTGCTGCACTGCGTTACATGCTGACTGCTGCACTGTGTTAAATGCTGACTGATGCACTGCGTTACATGCTGGCCGATGCCTTGCAATCCCGTGTGGCCGATTGCATTGTGGCCATAGGGCACGGCTACGGTGCCATTCACTTCATAGGCCCACCACACCCCTCCTGCACCACAAAAAAGTGAGCTGGCCACAATGCGAGGCAGTGCGTTCTAGCCAGAATCAGATCGGAACGCACTGCAACTGGTGTGAATGAGGCCTTAGTGATTTTAATATGAAAAAGTTTAATAGAAAAAAATCAAACATCAAAAAAGTGAAACTTCAGATTGCATCTTCCCATTAAAAACCTTTGACAACGTTGTCCACAACCATTCACACTCCCACTCCTACAGACGGGCCCCACACACTTGCTAAATAATGGAAAGTCTTTGTTGCTGGATCTATCACTGACTCTGTAGAGGTCATGGAGGGTGTAGAGAGTGAGGGCCCTGTCGCACCATCAAGAGTGCGTTCCAGTGCGTTTGGCCTCTGGAACGCACTGGAATGCAACCTGGCCTGCTCACTTTGTTTTGGGGCTGGAGGGGGCATGCTTGCAGCGTTTTTGGCAGATCGCACTGGACCGGAACGCAGGCACTAATGTGCCACTCGTTCGGGTGCCAGCAATTGCACCGCGTGCAGGGGGGGCGTGGCTGCGGGGTCATTGAGTTCAATGCACCGCCAGTGTGTTCCAGACTCTGAACGCACTGGAACGCATTCTTGATGGTGTGAGTGGGCCCTTAGTGAGGACAGCAGAAAGTCCACGGACACCTATCTGTCTTATTTAACCTAAAATGTAATTCCTTAGACAAATGGATATTCCTGACCTAGTTGTACTGATGCCCTTCCTCCAGGTAGAGTATAGTACATACAAAAGTCCTCAGCTATATCCACCAGTGGTGGTCTCCTCCGAGTGCGAGTAATGACACTCTGAGGAGACCACCATTGGTGGATATTGCTGTGACACACCCTTGCTGAGTCAGCAAATCAGCAAAGCTCTTGCTTCATGCCAATTTGATAGTTTTAACTGTAGCACTACCCCTAAGGAGTCACTGGATTGTTGGTTAAATCCTGTCACTCCCAATATGTACTCCACTCATTTCTAATGTACTGTCCTATTGTGGAAGGGAACAGAGGGATAGTCACGGTGTGTCCTCTAAGAAGCCTGGACAGTGTGGCTCCCACCCCTTAAAGGGCCACTGGACAGGACTAGATATCTCTAAATCAGAAGGGGCATGCCAGATCTCTCAAGAGAGAGCAATGCTTAATAACAGAGAGCAAGTGTCCTTCTCTGCAGCATGCTGTCAGCGGACAAGCTGTTTCAACTGAGGCTGTGGCAGTTTTCTAAAGGAAATAAACTGTAAGGGCCGCTGTACACTTATGCGACACCCCACCGTGTGGCAATCGTGCACGATTCCGGGCGGATTGCTGCATGGTCAGAAGTCGTATAGGTGTGCGCCGATCGCGCTGTGGGTGTCATTATTTTTCAATGGCACCCCAGTCCAAGTACAAGTACCTTTTTTCTGCGATACACAAAGCGCAGCTGCTTTAGCCGTGATCGGGTTCAGAAGCACGGGGCTACTGGGGTGCCATTGGAAAATTATTGCACAATTGCCACGTGGTGGGGTGTCGCATGGGTGTGCACCGGCCTTAATACTTTGTACACCTTACTGTTTTAATGCACCTGGAATGATTTGAAGTTCAGATGGACTTTACCATTATGATTTTTAATTTTTACATTTGTTTTTCTTTTTCATTTGTTTTTGGCTGTTTGAATGATGCTTTTTGTTTTATTGATTAATTATTGAAAATCATTTTCTTTCACAGATCAGCTACGGAGCTACAGACTACGCTCTCACCGACAGAATTCTTTATCCTCATGTATTCCGGACAGTTCAGAATGACCATGTTCATTTTTTGGCTGTAGTTGAGCTGTTAAAACACTTTGGCTGGACGTGGGTTGGAATATTCACAACAAATGATGATGCCGGAGATAAAGAAAGAGACATTTTAACCAAGTACATGAACATTTATGGGATTTGTGTTGAGTATACAATTTTATTTGGAGTTGACACAATAAATGATGAAATGTTTGACAAAACGTATGAAACCACCGCTGCTATTGTAAAAAAATCCACTTCCAAGGTCATCGTAGTATGTGGATCTTATGTCTACATCAATATGATTTTCACTGTCTATGATGATTTTCTCTATGATAAAACATTAATTTTTCCTCCTATTTGGGTTTCCAGAGCTTCAGTACATCTTTTACCAATAGCTTCAATTAATGGAAGCTTAGCAGTGGAACTTTACCCTTTATTCGTTCCAGATAAAGAACATTTCTTTGATGGCATTGATAAGATGAATAGCACAAACAATTCATCAGGTTCCCAATATTTTTTGGCAATTGCAAAATGCTTGTCATCAAACAGAGGAAAAAACAAGATAGAATGTACAATACCCAGTGATTATGCCCAAACAGAAAAGTTTCCAAACATAGAGAATTTCATAAATCAGGGTGTCTCGCCCCGAATTTATTATGCAGTAGAGATACTAGCTAAAGCTCTTCACAATATGCAACTATTTCTTAAAGGAAAATCTGATGACAAACAGCATAATTATTATAAACATCAGGTAATATTCACAGGATATCTTAGATATGGTGAAATGTTTGAAGAAGGGAAATCAAAAAACTTACCCTTGCAGTGGGGCTACTCCTGCACTGCAAGTATTACTTGATCGTTTTGTCTAGGGGACTGAAGTAAAGCAATTTTACTTGGATCCTCGGTCCCGTGGTGGTCAGCACTCATCTCTCTTCCCCTCTGCTCAAGATATGGAGTGTCCTTTCAGCATCTTCATGTCTAGTGCAGGTCAAGCAGGTCAATGTACCTGCATGAGATGTAATGATGTCCTCAATCCTTAGACTGCTGGAGCATAGGGCAGAAGAGTCTACAGGGACCAGTCTAGCAGTCTGGTGGGAACTGGCAGGACTGAGGATCAGGTAAGTAAACCTTCTTTACTTGAGTCCCCTAGACAAAATGAGCACTTAACCCTTTCTTTTTTTTAAAGATGCTTTTTATTAAGAATTTTAATAAAACAAACAATATCAACAAAGAGAAAAAATAAAACAGAAAGGAAACATTCCTAACAATGCTTGCAATCTCAGTACTCCAGAACAGGAAGGTAAAGTATGACAAAGCCTCTAGCGCAACAAGAGAAGTCAGCAAACAATACAATCACAAATCATTAGTATGTCCATTGATTATTCAGGGAAGATCAACAGTTGCCTTAATAGAAGACAACCAAGGACCCCATATACCATAAAGCGCTGTAGATTGCACCGTTGTGCACCGTTGTTCATAAGTAATTTTATAAAGAGGCAAGGCTTGATTAACTATTAGTGATGGGCTGAACACCCCCCTGTTCGGTTTGAATTTGAAGTTTAGAATATGGGAAACGTTTGAATTCAAACTCAATGCAAGTCTATGGGGGTAGAACTTTAAACAATCAAATGTCCCCATTTTGAAGCCTTATATGGAATTTATTGACCATAAAAAGGTATGGGGAACTGCCCGGGGGGACATGAATCAATGAAAACATTTTTTTTAAATACAGTTTTTAAGGGAGCAGTGATTTTAACATCACTTAAAGTGAAACAATAAAAATGAAAAAATTATTTAAATATGCCTGGGGGGGTCCCCTTAAACTAGCTGTAAAGTGGCGCATCTGTACAAGAACCTGCGGCAGCAAAAATTTCATTTCTAAAGAAGAAAATTACATTTAAAAAGAAAAAAAAACATGGGGTTCCCCAAAAGTTATACCAGACCCTTTAGATTTGGTAGGAATTTTAGGAGGGACCCCCCCCCCAGAAAAGTGGGGGGGGCATCGCTGGTGGTCAGGTGCAAGGCTTTAGCCAATCAGGGCTTCACAAGGCACAGCACCCTGTGGGGGGCTCCGCGGACGAATAGCCCGTTGAACATCCTGACAGCTCACGTTCGACTCGAACATCGAGCCCAACTCTATTAACTATATGCTTCCAGCAACTCAGAGAAGGCACTTCAGAACTACTCCATACCAAAAGAATGCATTTCTTGGCTTAAAACAGGAGAACATGGAGAAGGCTCTGGGTCCCAGAATTCAGTGCAAGTTCCCCAAACAGTCCTTAGAGGCAAAAGCAGGGATTACCTCTTGCGTGTGTGATTTAAAAGTATTTTCTGCACATTTCTTTTGTCAGTTGGTTTTCAGTGTTGTTGAAGGATGTGTTTGACTGCTGCTTGTATCCTGTGGGGAGGGTCAGAAATTGTCTGGATCCTATGAAGATGATTTGCTCCATCATACAGATTTAATTTTACCAGCATGTGTTTTTTCTCTTTCTATATTTATTTTCAAGCTATATTACCTGCTAAAAGAAAAAAAATATTCCTTTGATTCATCTGAGCCAGTGCCATTCTTTAATGAATATGGAGAATTTGTTTATCACTACAGAATAACTAATTGGATACTAGGAAGTGATTTTACTGTGATATATAATGAAGTAGGAAACTTTACACCCTGGGATTCAGAAGATCAGAGGCTTCATGTCAACCTTGAAGCTATACCATGGAAATTTAGAAATAAGGTGGGGCTATAATATACATTTGGGTATTAATAAAGCTAAAGCTGATATAGTAAGTGAGAGAATGAAAAAAAAAATAAAGAACAAAACATCTTTACTTCCTCTAATCAGAGATTCATAATGTACATCAAGAACCATCTACATACATGCTGCAACTGGTGGGCTTAGATTTGCATAACTTGAATTATTCTATTAAGTTTTGCATTTCCATAGATTTGTATGAGAATGGAAAACCTGCTTGAAGCAAACCAAAGCCCATCAACGTAAACCCTTACTCAATCAAAAATGGCAAAGCCGGATTTCACTGGCAGGTAGTCTGAACACATTTATGATGTAAGGGGATGGCTATTTGGTTGACTATTTATAAATCTGTCAGTGAAACTCCTTCCAGACCTGTCTGATGTGGCATTGTATGGCAGAGCAAAAAACCTGTCTCATGCTCCCTGAACCATTCTTTCACAATTTGAGCCTGATGAATCCTGACATCGTCATATTGGAATATTCTCATGCCATCAGGATAGGAAAAATTCACTTATGGTAAAACCTGGTCATTAAGTATATCCAGGTAGCCAGCTGACCTCATTTTTTGGGCCCATAAGATTGTTGAACCTAGACCTGACCAACTGAACCAACCCCAGATCAAAACACTTCACTGCCCCGCAGGCTTGTACAGTAGGCACTAGGCATGATGGATGCATCACTTCATCCGCCTTTGTTTTTATCCTGATGCACCCATCACTCTGGAACAGGGCAAATCTGGACTCATCAGACCACATGACCAGTTTCCATTGCTCCAGAGTCCAATCTTTATGTTCCCTAGGGAATTGAAGCCTTTTTTCGAGTAGCCTCATTGGTGCGTGGATTTCTTAAGGCTACACAGCTGTTTAGTCCCAATTCCTAGAGTTCTTTTCACATTGTGCATGAGGAAATGCTGTTACTTGCACTATTAAACATAGCCATGAATTTTACTGTTGATTTTTTTATTTTGCTAAACATTAAAGTCCATTCTTTAACCAAAGATTTACATATTTTAATTTTTAGGTTCCGGTATCCCGATGCTCCGGACCCTGTTTGCCTGGTACCAGAAAGAAGTTTGGATCTTCAATTCATAAATGCTGCTATGAGTGTGTCACATGTCCAGAAGGAGAGATATCCAACACATCTGGTAGAGTTTATATTGACTGTTGAGTTGTGTAGTAGTAACTAGCGATGACCAATTTCTAATGGGGCTTGTTCTGCCAGCAACCAGTCAAATCCAAACCTACAATTCACTTCACTGGTTCAACTACTTCAATAACAATGTTAACTGCAAAAATTCTATTACAACAAAAATGTCATATAAAACACCAACAGACCAGCACTAAAAAACAGAAGAAAAACCCACATGTCACAAAGAACTGATCCCCTGGTTTAGTTTGGGGCTCATTGGTTTGAAAATCAGGTAGATTTTTGATACTCCTGAACATATGTATGCAGAAGTGTCCAATCAGCAGAAAAATCACACAATTTCAGAATAATTGTATGGATTTCTGAACTGAGCATTGCTCTCCGAATCAGACATATTTACTGTAGAAGAATAAAAAAAATAATGAAACAATATATATATTGTAATGTTGGGGAGCTCACAGAGCACTCGCACATCGTTTTTCCATTAACAAAACAGTCTTTATTTTTCTTTCAAAAGGCAGACAATCAAAAAATCCAACATAAAATAGCTTGCTGCAACAGAAAGCAGATATGGGCTCAACAATCCTCGAGTTGTCCCCCACACTCACAGTGTCCCAGTCCTGTAATAGTTCTCTCTTGCAGCACTGCTGCTCCAGCCTCAATCATCAGGGCCACTGTCTGGTTCCTCCAGACAACCTCAATAACGTGCCAATCCTCACAACAGGCTTCATAAACCCGCAGCACCCCGCTTCACTGGCCTCCACACTGACTCCCGGGTGGAGCTTTCCTGTCTCCCAGGTGGGGCCCTCAATACATCCCAGCACCCTCTTCATGAGGGTTGTACCCAGGTGGACAATTAGGTGCTGGTCGCTACTAAAGCATGGACCCAGGACTGGAGATTTCATCCCACCCAGAGCTCTAAGAAATCTCCCAGCTTCAGGATCCCAACTATGATCCAGAAAACATGGAAAGGAATAAAAAGCTAGCTCTTTCCTGATACAAGCAAATTGTTTCCTGGAGCCACTGAGCCCCTCTGGCTGAGAATCCTGGGTCACTTTGAGGCCACATAACACAGTGGTATTGCCACACAATGCCACTATATATATATATAATGAGTCTATCTCATATATTAGTTTCACCGCATAAGTTGCATTAGTGAAATAAATGAACTTTGCACGATAGTCTAATTATTCGAGTTTCACCTGTATATATATATATACTATGTTACATATAAAATGCTGCCACCACCATGCTTCATTGTGGATATGGTGTTCAAATGGATGGTGATGCCATCTTTTGTGAGGTAGGTTGGCCGGACTGAAGCCTTTTCTAATAAGCAAAACATCCCAGCCCAGCTACATTTTGCAAAAACCTACAACTTGTAGGCTATTATTCATAAAAGTATTTCTGGCACAAAAACAACACTTCACCAAAAGAACACCATACCCACAGTAAAGCATGGTGGTGGCAGCATTATTCTTTGGGGCTGTTTTTCTTCTGTTGATGGCTTTGGAGGTTCCTACAATCTAACAAATTGTGAGCGCTATTGGAAGGAAGGGTGAGCAAAGATTCCCAAGGCAAGATGTGCTATGCTGATAGACTCCTACCCCCAAAGACTGAATGTTGTCATAAAATCAAAAGGTGCTTCAAAAAAAGTATAAGTTTTAATAACAACATTATTGTAATTTTTTTAGTTTTATGTTTTCTACCTTTTTTATTGGATTGCACATATTATAGGCCACATTAAAGGTGGAAAAAAATCTAAAGTGATTTATCTTTGTCTGATTTGTTTACAAGTCAAAAACCTGGCTTTTTTACTGGGGTATGTAGACTTATTATATATTTAAAGTACATTTTTCCTACTGACAGCACTGCTTGGGATTGTACTGCAACAGAGGTCCACTGACTGTCACTGCACCAATGAACTTTTCACTGACTGTGACAGCATTGAGTGCTTGCCTACTGATTTTAGTTCAGAATGTCCCATTCCACACCAGACCAGAATCTCCATACATGTATTGCAGTGGGTGCTGAAATGGCCTGTGGTTGGTGCCCTGTAGATCAAGATATATGAAGATGAGGCACCAGCACACCGAGGATTCACTGTATCGTTCCGTCTTTATTCAACATCAGACAAACATGGTATCAATGGAATGTTTCGGAACCATTAATCATTTCCTTCATCAGGCAAAGCAGAGTGACAAACACTGTGTCACTCTGTTCTGTCTGATGAACCAATGAATGGTTCCGAAAAGGTTGCATGTGATACTGTAAGGCAAAAAGGGCAGCAGCACATGCGCATAGACTACATCTCGGGAAACATGCCATAGTGCACAGGCGCGCACAAACGGAAGTGCGCTGGACGATGCGCAAACAGCTAGGGCACAGGAAGTGATGCTGTTACCTCAATTGGTGACTATATAAAAATGAGTCTACCTGCACCACATTGCTGATGGTCTTGTCAGCTTATCCTTCCTCTTGCCTGTGTCTCTGTTGGATTGCCTATGACCTGTTTGACCCTGATTGCCTTAGACTACCCTTCCTCTTGCTGCCTACCCCTGACCTCAGCCTGTTCTCTGGACTTGCTCTTGTCTTCTGATTTTGTGCCTCACTGCCCGGCTGGCTCTGACCCTTGGCTTCCTCATCCACGATTCTAGTCTCTCGAGTCTGCTCCTACACTGCCCAACCCGTTTGATCTTTTGCCTGCTGACCTCTCTTCAAGACGTCTCCAGCATAGTGTCTGCTTTCAATCCGTGGCACTCGTATTCCTCGCTGTCGTGCGGCCTTCTGTTCCAAACTTCAGAGGTTGTAGGACACAAGTCGCAAGAGACGCCTCCTCATCTTCTGGTCTCTTCCTCAGCCACGTGATAGATATTATATTTGTCTGGCAGTGAGTAAAGAAGGAAAACTGCGTGCTGGTGGCTCATATATCTCGCCAACTGACTGACATTGTACTGATGAACATAGCAAACTTCCATAATACACTGTTCCTTCTGCACACAAACATTCACTGCACCCATTCACTGCCGCCTTCACCTTCGTAACATCTCCAAAATACTCCCCTTCCTCACCAATGAAACCGCAAAATTACTCATACACTTACTTGTTATATCTCGTCTTGACTATTGCAACTCCCTCCTCATTGGCCTTTCACTACACAGGCTATCACCCTTCAGTCTATCGTGAATGCAGCTGCTAGACTCATTTACCTAACCAACCGTTCAGTGTCTGCAACCCCCCTCTGTCAATCCCTACACTGGCTTCCACCCTCCCAAAGGATAAAGCTCAAAATATTAACAATCACTTACAAAGCCATCCATAACTCTGCCCCCGGCTATATCTCAAACCTTGTCTCAAAGTATCACCCTAACCATCTGCTCCGCTCATCCCAAGACCTCCTGCTTTCCAGCTCCCTTGTCAACTCCTCCCATGCTTGCCTCCAGGACTTCTGTAGAGTCTCTCCCATCCTATGAAACTCTCTACCCCAACCTGTCCATCTATTTCCCACCTTGACTGCCTTCATCTCTTCAGGGAAGCCTATCCCACCTCAACCTAATCACTCTAAAGACTCATCTCTTCAGGGAAGCCTATCCCACCTCAACCTAATCACTCAACCGTTCTCAAACAATTCATCCCCACACAGCTACCACCTCATGTTTCACTTCCCCCTACCTTTTCGATCGTAAGCCCTCATGGGCAGGGCCCTCCTTACCATCTTGTCTTGAATTGTATTGTGATTGTAATGTCTTCCTTATACTGGTGGCGCTCTATAAATTCTGTATAATAATAATAATACCCCACAGACCATCACAGTTCTTGCTCTTTTCTTGTATGACCACCATACATGTAGTGGCACACTATGTACCACAAACTTCTGCTTACATGGTACATTTATACACCACAAACTTTCTTAGGGGAATATTTTTGTTCGAGGTAACACATTTTGTTTATTCCCCAGACACTGTAATAAATAAGTCCATTATGTGTCTTTTTCAAAATCTGCAGACAGTGAAAACTGCATAAGATGTCCCGATGAAGAATGGCCAAATAAGAAGAAGGATCGGTGTGTTCCAAAGCTGGTGGAATTTCTGTCCTACACTGATGACACAATTCCTGCAGTAATTTCAGCTGTCTCCATACTTTTTTGCCTTCTGACTGGTGTAATATTGGGAATATTTGTAGATTTCCGGGACACACCCATTGTTAAAGCTAATAACCGGGACCTGAGCTATCTTCTCCTGGTCTCCATCATGATCAGTTTCCTTTCTGTGTTTTTGTTCCTCGGCCGTCCAGTAGATGTAACCTGCATGCTGCGTGTAACCTGTTTTGGTGTCATCTTCTCAGTTGCTGTCTCTTCTCTACTTGCCAAAAGTATCATGGTGTGTATTGCTTTCAAAACCACCAAACCTGGGAGTTCCTGGAGAAAATGGATGGGTACCAAATTATCCAATGCCATAGTGTCTGTGTGTTCATTAGTTCAAGTACTAATATGTGTCACTTGGTTGTCTATATCTCCTCCCTTCCAGGATAGAGACATTCACACTTATCAGGAAAAGATCATCATTCAGTGTAATGAGGGTTCTGTTATCGGCTTCTACTCTGTCCTGGGATATATGGGGCTTCTGGCAGCTGTGAGCTTTATTATAGCTTTTTTAGCCAGGACATTACCAGACAGTTTTAATGAGGCCAAGTACATCACCTTCAGCATGCTGGTGTTCTGCAGTGTCTGGATTGCCATGATCCCGGCCTATCTAAGCACTAAAGGGAAAGACACGGTGGCTGTACAGATATTTGCAATAATGGCTTCAAGTGCTGGACTTCTTGTCTGTATATTTTTTCCAAAATGCTATATCCTTTTATTTAGACCTGACCTGAATACAAAAACAGATTTACTTATAGGCAGAGCCAAGTGATTTTGTTATTAATTGTAAACAAAACGAAATAAACTCAATTTGGCAGTAAACTGCATAAGAATATTATTATCATTTTTTTAAGCAATATCGTTTCACATACTTGTATTCTTGCAGTAAGAAGTTGGTGTTTTTTATAGAGGTTTATTTTATTAAAAATCATAAAGCTGGATTGCCATTTTTTTAAAATAATATATATATATATCATAAAAATACAATTAGGGTTCTATTAATAAAGAACTCCCTGTAATTGGCAGAAAGCAAATGTGGTACCAATATACAACCAATATACAAAAAGCTGAAAAGAAGTTCACTGGATAACTAAAGGCCTGTCAGCTTAATGGAAATAGTGTGCAAAATATGTGAAGGCATGATAAGAGAATACATGCAGGAATTTGCAAATAAAACTGGTATTGTAATAGGTAACCAATAGGGATGGGTTGCATGTTCGAGTCGAACTCACGTTCGACTCAGGCAATGGCTAGTTTGTGTGTTCGCTGAACACAAGAACTATCATGGTTCGCCGAACGCCAAACTTTGTGGGATGTTTGCAGTCTGTTTGACCGCTCAACATCCCACAAGGCAATGGACCTTGTGAAGCCCTAACTGGGTAAAGGCTTGCACCTGACCGTAGGTCAGGTGCAAGACTTTGCCCAATCAGGGCACAGTACTCTGTAAGAGCCATGATTGGGCAAAGTCATGAAGATTTTGCCCAATCATGGCTCATAGCTAAGTCCCATCGGCACACTATATAAGGCTGCTTACACCGCAGCCTTACGTAGTGTTTTGCTGGAGTTAAAAAGAGAGGTTATAGCGGAGTATGTAGCAGCTGTATGTACAGCTTTTTTATCAGAGTTCTATATCAGCGTTCTGATGATGGCATAGGAATGGGTGTCACAGGCAGGGCCGGATTCCCGGCAAGGCCACGGAGGCCCGGCCTCGGGGCGGCACGGAGAAGAGGGGCGGCACACGTTTGAAGACACCTGTCGCCTGGAACATGGAGTTCTGGGTGCCGGGCGGTAATTTGTTTTCTACATTTAGCCCTGCTTTGCACAAGCAGGGCTAAATGAAGAATGGGGGAAGCCGCTTGTTGCTTTACACGTGATCTTGTCGCCAAGATCACTTGTAATAACACTGCAGGCTGTCCGTCCTCCCCCCGCCCCCCCTCCCCTGCACCTGCCTCTCTCCATGCAAGTAATAGCAATAAAGTTAAGGGAAAAAAAATTGATACAAATATAATTACATAAAAAAGTAAAAAATAAATAAGTAATAATAATTAAATTAAAAAATAAAGTTAAAATAAATAAAAAGTACAAAATAATAATAAAAAATAATTATAAATAAAAAATGAATAAGATAGTTGCGGCATCAGGCAGGGTAAATCCGTTCCTGGTCACAGGTCCTTCCGCCAAATCTGCCAGCAGTCCACCAGCTGTAGATTTTAGCAGTCAAATGTCACTGCCCCAGCTGCTGCAGCGGAAAAAAAGATACTGTTCCACCCATCCACATGCTCAGCATCTAAATGCTCAGCTTGGCCAAATTGCTAGCTTTCCAACTGCTGCCTTTCCATCTGGTGGACTCTGCCCCCTTCCGTGAGTTTGCAGAATGTGCTGTACCACAGTGGCAGGTTCCCAAACGCCAATTCTTTTCACGTAAGGCCATTCCAGCACTTTACCAGCATGTGATAGGCAATGTTTTGGCCTCGTTGGACAAGGCAGTCAGCAGCAAGGTCCACATTACCACTGACACATGGTCCAGCAAGCTTGGCCAGGGACATTATATTTCCTTCACGACACACTGGGTTACTCTGCTTGCAGCTGGGAGGGATCCAGGACGGGGCTCCATGCTGGAGCTTGTTCAGCCACCATGCCTCCAGAAAGCTGCTGCTGTGAGATCTGTCTGCTCCACCCCCCTCCTCTTTGTCCTCCACAATGGCCTCTTCTGTAGAATTGTCCTGTGAACCATCAGTTCACCATAAGCGATCAAGGGACTATGCAATAAGTCAGGCAAAAAGATGCCATGCAGTGCTTGAGCTGATTTGTCTAGGGGGCAGGAGCCACACCGGGCAGAGATTCTGTCAACTGTGTAGGGGCTGGCCCAGAGGTGGTTAACATCATGACAGCTTGAGCCGGGAATGGTATGTGACAATGGCAGCAACCTTCTCTCCGCCCTATGTCTGGCAAAGTTGACGCATGTACCATGCTTGGCACACATCCTCAATTTGGTGGTACAGCGTTTCTTAACCAGGTACCCAGGGCTGCAAGATCTTCTGAAGCAAACCAAAAAAGTCTGCAGCCATGTCAGGTGCTCATTTCCAGCCACTGTTCATCTCGCTGAAATTCAAGGTGAATTCCACTGATTTGTGACATGCCGACCAGGTGGAACACCACTTTGTCAATGCTGCAGCAGCTGCACACTCAACAGTGGGCCATCCACAAGTACCTGTGTGAGTATGGCACACGGACAGGCTCAGGGGACCTTGTCTTCTTTCCCTACATCAGTGGCTGCTGATAAAGGATGCATGCACTGTACTGTCACCATTTGAGGAGGTGACGAGGATGGTGAGCCGGAACAATGCATGCGTCGGTGACACTATCCCTCTTGTGTTCCTGCTGGAGCATACTCTGCAGGGAATTCTATATAGGCCACTTGAGGCAGAACAGAGGAAGAGGAGATCTTTCTTTCCTCTCAAGACCCTATTTACGCAGAAACCATTCCTGTGGGTCCGCAGATCACACAAGAGGAGGAGGAGGATTATTGCAGCCGTGGGGGCATTGTAGCAGAGGATGACATAATCAGTCTTCAAAGGAGGGTTTTCTGTCCCCAGAAACCCAAGGAGTAGTACGTGGCTGGGAGGAGGTAGTGCACAATAGTGTTATCCTCAGTGACCCTGAAGACTCGGAATCTCATGCCTCCTCTTGCTTACGGTGCATGGGCTCCCTTATCCTGCAAAGCCTGATAAAGGACCCCAGAATTTGTGGTATCAAGTAGAGGGATCATTGATGGTTGGCAACCCTTCTTGATCCACGTTACAAGCATAAAGTTGCAGAGCTCATCCTGCCCTCACAGAGGGAGCAAAGGATGAAACAACTTGAGGACGCATTGAAGAGAAACTAAAGTAACACCTTTCTAGACACTGGTAGGTTACCAAGTGATGAAAAAGGTGCTTCTGATGCTCCGGTTGTTCAAAGGAAGAACGGTGGAGAGGGGGGCCGCCTGACTGATGCCTTTAGAATGTTTTTCAGTCCTTCTGCACACAGGGATGTTACCTCAGGCACCCATCGGCAGCATCTGCATCATATTGTGCAGGATTACCTAGGGGCAAGAGCAGACCTGGATAGCTTTCCAGCAGATGATCCACTGGCTTACTGGGTCTTGAGAATGGATCACTGGCCAGAACTTAGCCAATATACCATGGACATACTGGGCTACCCTGCATCCAGCGTGCTTTCGGAAATGATGTTCAGTGCTGCTGGAGGTTTTGTGAAATATACAAATGTTTGTCTGTCCACAGACACCGTTGACCGGCTGACATTTATCAAAATGAATCAGTTCTGGATCAGCAGAAGCTATCAATCCCCTGATGCAGATGTCACTGAATAAATGCGTCAGGGATCTCTGGAAGACTGCCTAGGCTGCCTAAATTTGTGGATGATTATTCCATCTTCAAGTAATGTTCTCGGTTAAATGCACCACCAACGACCAAGGCCCAATTTTTCTGCAACCACATGTGACAGGTGCATATCATTTGACATTTTTGCAGCACGGTCCAATCCTGCAGTCTTCAAGAATAACTTTGTAGGGTTATGGTGTGAAGGTACTTTCCGAAACTAAAGGCCCACTTTTTGGGTGCACCTGTGTGATAGGTGCATATCATTTGAATATTTTACAGCAGGGTCCAATTCTGCACTCATCAAGAATAACTCCGAAGGGTTACGATGTGTCAAGATTTGTGCACTGGAGCACCAAGAATTGTAAACTCGGGGACAGTGTGACCGCATAATTAAACGCAGGTGTGCCAGAGTTACACGATCTTAGGAGCCACTTCCCCAGAGCCACTGATGGTGCGAATGTTGAGCTCCCAGGTTGCGGCTCTCTGACACACCCGTGCAGGCACAGTGCCAGCGGGTACTCAGGGACCACAGCACACTGGACAAGACACAGGGGGCATACAGGATACAAGGTACAGAAAACAGGCACTAGAGGGAAGACGCAGGGAACATGCCTGACACAGGGAGCTGGTAACAAAAGGGAACACACAAGAGGTGTACCCACAGAGACAAGAGATACACAGGAACAGCAGAGCGGAATGCACAGGAGAAATGAGGGAGGTGCACAATAGTACAGAGCAGAATAATCACAGGAAGCAGGAGACAACTACAAAACAGTGCAGAAAACAATGCAGTGGAGAGAACTCATAGCCACAGCAAACCAAAGAGATACACAAACAGAAAACAGAGGTAATGCAAGAGCACAGCAGGAAGAGAACACTGAGAACAACAAGAGCAAGCAAAGACACAAATACAAGGTATACTCAAACAGCAATGCCACTGGAAACAGAGAGGTCTGGCTACTACCATGGAGACACCTTGTTCTAACGCTAAAGCACAGGTACATAAGCCTTTTAATAATTAGGTTCAGGGCAGATTGACAGGAAACTGAGCAGCTCGGACAGGAGGAAAAACCCGGCGCTGGATCAATGTACTGTGACATGGTGTGAAGGCAGCACCAGCACTAAAGGCCCAATTTGAAGCACCTGTTATTACTTTCATCCAACATCTGCAAAACAGGCACAAGAATTTATTCCAAAAATCTCTAACCTTGTTCCGAGTGTCCTAAAATGTGTCCTCTTCATACAGGCTGCCTCCCCAAGCAGTTGTTTAAAAGATTAAAGGAAAACCAATTACTGGCAATTGAAATGTCATTTTTTTCTATTTAAATGTCACTTTTTGCTGCAGCAGGTTCTATACATCGTACAGATCCGCCACTTCACAGGCAGTTTA